AGGGGGGGGTCTGCTCGCTCTGCAGGGGGGGGGGGTGGCAGGGGATGGGGGGGGAGGGGTCCTCGGAGGGGGAAAAGTCGGGGTGCGGCAGGGGGGTCCGCTCTGCAGGGGGGGTGGGGTAGGCGGGCTGCAGGAGAGGGGGCGGGGCCCTCTGCAGGGGGAAGGGGTCCGCTCTGGAGGGGTGGGGTGGGGCGAAGCACTGAATTTGGTCGGAAATGGGTCGGACATAGGTCGGAAATGAGGTCCCCCCCCCCCCTCTCTCGGCAGAGCGGAGCTTGAGCGAGCTCAATCAAGCCCACGCTCTCAGAAACTCACGCGCCGGATCGGCGGATGTGCCCTTCGTGGCCCCCGTTCGCAGTCGCCCGTCGTGGCCCCATACGCATGCCCTTCGTAGCCCCGCTGTCGCCCTTCGTGGCCCTCTCGCTGCCCTTGGTGGCCCCTTCGCTTGCCCCTCCCCTCCCTTCCTCCGATCCCTTCGTCCTCATTCCCCCCCGTTATCTGTTACCCTCCGTTTTCAAGGCCACACGTGGCAGGGAATGAATATACCCCCCAGAAGGGGGTACGATCGAAGACGAAGAGGGCGGGTATCTAGGGTTTGGGATGTGCATATTGAATGACACGCGAGCAGATAAGAGCGAACATACTTAAAACGATTGTTGCTGTTGGTGTTGCTCTCACATTCCCAAGGCCGTTTTCGTCCCCTGGATCTGTCAAAAACTTATCTGGGGTGACAGACTGCATCAGTTGGACCCCTGGAGGGATGTAGGACCCGATTTTGACAATATTTGCCCTCATCACCCTCCCCTGACAGATTCTCTCGGGGCCCAACCAGTTCAGACCTCCTGGCCGCCTCCAAGCGCAGAGGACCAAGGAGTCATGGATACTTTCCAAGATTCCTCAGATTCTTCTGTTTTCCAAGGTTGCCCAACGTTCCAAAGGGCTGCAAAAACGAGGGCCGCTAGATACCCCAGAATTCCTGGACAGCACGCCGAGCCAAATTGACATCATTCTCGTCACAGTCGGAAAAGAAGCTATTACAGTCGGCCCGGATTAGTAGGTCGACCCTGCCAGCTCAAGGGTACCCCTTGTGTCCTGTGCCTCGCGACACGTGCCTTCTTACACTCCAATGGCGATGTTGCCCTCGGAAGGGTCTTGCGTCCTCTCGCGTGTCCTCTCTCCAATCAAGGTCAATTGCACATAAGCATACACTTCCACAAGTCCATGCGGACTCCTTGGAGCGACGCCTGACACCTCCGGCGCCGCCGCTGCCGCGCTCCGCGCGCCCGGGGAGAGGAGGTCTAGCGTCCAGCGCGGATCCTGGCGCCGCCACCGGCGCGTTCCGCGCGCCAGGCAATGGGGTCGACAGTCAGCCCGCACAGCAAGGACGGCCAACCTTCCCAAGGGCGCCCCTGCATCCTTAGCTCCTCGGTCCGTCCTTGGCCACTTTCGTTGGCCGCGCCCCGGTCGAAAAGCCTAGACGTGGGCGTCCAAGGCCCTTGCATGCTCATCGCGCATCCTTCTGATACGGGCCGGCTGTGGCGCTGATCCGAGAAATCTGCGCGGGCCCCCGACAGTTTATGTTCATACCGTTCTTTCTGGTACGAAGCTGGCTCTCCGGCGCAGTCTTGTGGGCCAAGAGGCACGGGAAGCCGGGAACGATGGCCTCGAAGTCAGGCACGTTTGCTTCGCGTGTCGCGCCGCCGGTGCTGGCCCACCGCGCTTCGTCAGAGCCCCGAATCATCAGGGGTAATTCGGGTCAGGGCTAACTCGGGTTCGTTTTTTCGGGAATCCGAACCCGAGTTACCCCGGGCCCGAGTTACCCCGGATAATTCGGGCGCCCAACTTCGGCGCAATGTCCCTTCCTCCTCCTCCTCCTCCTCCTCCTCCTCCTCCTCCTCCTCCTCCTCCTCCTCCTCCCAGTCCCCAGGCGTCAATGTCTCGAGCCGTTCCGAGCCTCCCGCCTCACCGGGCACGTCGACGCGCCAGGAGTTTGCGGGGCGTGGCGCGTCGCCCCGCGGCCGCCGCTGCGGCACGTGAAGCAGAAGCTCTCCACCGCGAGCGGCTGGTGCTCGTCTCGCTGCGGACTCAACCTGGCATCGCTCGGACGTGTGCATTTTTTCCTTCGGCGAGGACAATCGAGGAGCATCCTTGATCATCTGGCGAAGGAACCGCGCACGAGACCGAAAAAATCGCAGGTCATGGACGTCCGAGCGATTGCGAGTCAAACACTCAATGCGTTTGGCCTGCAAAGAATCGCCCATGAGCTACCCTGGATAGCCACGGGAAGGCTCAGAGACGCCAAGAGAGGTCATGGCCGGCCCGTTTGCCAGGTGCAGCAGGGTGTGTTCTTGGGATCTTGGTGTTTGTTTGGAATGCATCGCGTGTTGCTGCGATGAGCCTTCTCAACTTGGTCTTGGACAGTTTCCGAAACGTCTGGGCGATGTCTGGTTCAGTCCTGGGGGGGCCATGGGGCGGTCTCGGGTGGTTGGGATGCCCGCCAGGGTGCGGGGTCCATGAATAGGTGCGTCCCGAGACAAAGCAATTAGTTCTCTCAAAGGGTAGCGCATGTTCGAAAGCTGCTTCGCTGCGCACATCGAGGAAGGCAACAACTGCTTCGAAAGGCGCAGTGCGCTCAAGAATGCAATGGGCAAACGCGCTGCGACGGAGGCGACACAAGTCAGCCACGCTCAGAAGGGGGGTATAGGGGAAGGGGGGATGTTTCTGAGAAGCACCCCTGCTCCTTAGAAGGCGCGGACCTGACCTACGACGTGTGGCCGGCGCCTTCTGGGAAGCGGCCTCGTCCTAAAAAGCCTACCCCCCTCCGCCTACTCCCCTCTGCGCGCCGCCAAAATGCGAGGCTCAAGGGCCCATTCAGCGGCCGCGAGACCCTCGCGGGCCTTCCCATGCCGTAGGACGATTCCGCAGGAATCGAGGCGCGCAGGCACGGCGCGGCACGCCGTGCAGGCTCACGCCGGGGAGGCGTCATCGGCCCATGTTCGGTGTCAGCTGTCCTTCGGCTGTGGTGGGCAGGCGATGGGCGCGGCCCCGCATGGAAAGGTCAGTCTAGACGCTCGGCGTAGCCTTACTGACATTTATTTTGGCTGCGCTTACTTGCTGGTCGCCACCGGGATCTCCACGCCACCGGGTTGGGAGGTTCGTTTCTGGCTCTTCTTCTGAGTGGCTGCCCGCGCGCTCGCTTCGCTTGCCTCTGTTTTCTTGCTGCCTAGTCGTGGCCCGACTAGTGTTCGGACGGTTTTCGACCTGCTTCGCGAGCCCGCAGACCAAAAAGTAGCCTTACTAAAATCAGCCGCCCCCCCACTTCCAGACCCAGGGGGAGAGTGTCGAGGGATGGGTAAGCCCCTCCCCGAAAGGGAAGAAGGGGGTTGGAAGAGGAAACTCACCAAAAATCACGCACGCCCAGAGGGCTGGTGGTATTAGTTCGCCCAGTCTTCGGCTCTCATCTCACCGCCGCGTTTGCCTCCCATGCGCCATCCTGTAAGATGCTGGGCAAGAGTGGACAGGCGGCGCCAACTACACCCTCAGTGGTTTCGACTCGGTGCATACGCTTTTCTGGCCAAGTCCAGACGCTGTTGTGGCTCAGGATGGGTATGGTCAGTACCGGTGCATGTGAGCAGATCGGTCTCTCCTAATTGGGGAGAGTGTGGGGAGATCTTGATGATAATTGCCTCTGCTTCCAATTCGGTTGCGAAGGCCTTACGGCCAGTGCCACCGACCCTGAAGGGGGACGACGACGACGACGACGACGACAACGGCGGCAGCGGCGACGACGACGACGATGCTGACGTGGGCCAGAGGGATGCGTCTTGGGGTCTCTTCGGAAGGCTCTCGGGGGCCTCTGGGGAGGAATTAAGGGGCCTCTTAAGCGCCTCTTTTGGGGCTTCTCGGGAGCCTCTTGGGGCCTCTTCGGGCTTCCTGAAGACGTTTCTTGTGGGCCTCTTGGGGCCTCTTGGGAACCTCTTGGGCCCCTTGGGCGCCTCTCGGGGCCGAGGGCTCGAAATGTCTGTTCGGGTCCCCCGTCTGGGCACGCTGTTGGAGCCGTCTTGGGGGCATTTGGGGCCGTCTTGGAGGCGTTGTGGGGTGTGTTGCGGTCCTCTTGGGCTGTGTGAGGGCCCTCTTGGAGGTCCCTTGGGCCGTCTTGGAGCGATCTTGGGGGCCTCTCAGGCCATCTTGTTAGAGCGGCGGGGAGCGGAAAAGGCGAGAACGCCCAAATATTGAAGAACATGTTCCTCGTGGGGCATCGTGGGGGCCTTCTCGGGAGTGCTCTTGGAGGCTTCTTGAGACGTCTTGGCGGGCTCCTGGACAGTCTGGAGGGCGTGAAGGCGTTTTGGACCGATAGTTTGGCGATAGGGGGCCCTCTTGGACCGTCTCGGGGGCCTCTTGTGGCACTCTTGGCCTGTCTTGGTACTTTCGGAGGCCTTGGGACCCCAGGGGGGGTGCGTATCTTTCCCCCCTTCCCCCGGGACCCCCCGCCTACCCCCCCCCCCTATCCCTCCCAGGCTGCAGGGGAAAGGGGACGACGGAGACGACGGCTGACAGAGACGACGGCTCGAACAGACAAGCCACTCACACACGCCGACAGTGTTGGCGGATTTCAGATTCCAGGGCTCACCAGTTTCCCAGCCCATCGTGTGACCTTCTCTGTAGAACACGCCATGCTTGTCCAGGAGCTAGGAAACGCCGAGGTCGCGGCTCATCCACCCTACCTAAGACCGTCCTTGAGCACAGGCTTTAGTGGAAGCACCTGCAGGTTGGATGACAAGTTGTGGTAGGATGGGGCGGTGCGCGTTTGGCGACTGGCAGCAAATGGCAGCAATTTTCAGCAGCCATCAGGCAGGCGCAAGGCAGCAACTCTCAACAGCCGTAGCCATTTTGGCTCAGGGGGCGCCGCAGCGAGAGGGGACAGGCTCAAGGCCTGGCCCTGCGCGCGGCCCTGGCGGGATCGGCGACAGCCTCGGCCCCAGGCGGTGGCCTCGGCCCCCATGGTGGCGAGCTGCGGCATGCCGGTGCGCGCCGCAGGCGCCACCGCAGGCCGGCCCTCCAAGGTCTGCTCGCGGGGGCAGCTGACGGTGCAGCCGGTGCGCTCTTGCGCGGAGAAGACCCTGCAGCTGGACCAGTCGGGTGCCCTGGTCTTGCGGGGCCGCCTGGAGGTCAGCGTGGTCGAGGCGCAGCTGGTTCGCATCTTCGACAGCCTGAAGCTGAATCAGGATGTGTTCGTCCAGCTGCTGTGGTGCTCCAGCGACCCCGCCGTGGGGGAGCGCCCCATCGGCCGCACCGGTACCTGCAGGCAGGCCGAGCTGCACCCGAGGTGGGACAACGAGGTCTTCCTCTGCGACTCGGTCGCCGCGAGCCCAGGCGACACGCTCAAGCTCCGCGTGCAGGTCTCAGGCGATCGCAAACATGGATTAACTTGGCGTCGCTCGGACGTGTGCATTTTTTCCTCGGCGAGGACCATGGAGGAGCATCCTGGATGACTCAGCGAAAAAAGCACGGACGAAATCGGAAAATACACGAGGAATGGACCTCCGAGCGATGGCAAGTTCAGGGGGCGTGGATTAGCGACGGGTCCCGTTTCCATGGGGGATCGCGGAACGAGGCGGCACCGGCCGTTTTTTGGGGAGGGCACCTCCCCCGATCCATGGAGTCGGCGTCCGCTCGCCGAATCCATGGACCGCTGGTCCGCTAGTCCATGTTCGCGCGCCCCCGAAGGTCGACCACGTGGTGCGCCAGCCGGTGCTCTGCGGGGAGGCGGAGTTCGGGCTGGAGGCGCTGCGCGGCCGGGCGGCCCTGGGCGCCGCGGGGCGCGTGGCCGTGCCCCTCTTCAAGAGAGGGGAGCGCACCGGCGTCCTCCACATCGGCGTCTCCTCCGCGCCGGACGTCGTGCTCGCCCCGCCCAGAGGCGGGGCGGAGACCGACCACAGGGGCGCCGGCATCGAATTGGGGTGCGTCGACGCCTTCGGCGACGCGAGCCCCGCCAGCACGGTCTACGTGTCGGGGCTCTCGGAGAAGTGGTGGAACTCGTTCATCGAGCGCGGCTGACTCCAGACCCGGCTGCCCAGCGGCGGCAAGCGCCTCCTCCCCTCGACTCGCCCACCGTTGTTCGGGGCTGGACAGAACCCCCAACAGTGACACGTCGATTAGTGAATTGTCCGTTTTCGGCTCTCGAGAGGGCGCCGTGGCCGTTATTTTCCAGGCTTGCGCCCGCCGGGTTTGGGCCCGAGGTCGTTTCCACTAAACCACGTTTTGCTAAAGGGGGGTTCTGTCCATCCCCGAGTTGTGCCCTGCCCCGGATCACGGGTGCTGCCGCGTATTCCCTAGCCAATGCTCCAGCACGTCTGGAAATCGCGCGCGCGCTTCCGGCCCCCCCCCTCGCGGAGCGGGCGCCCGCGCAGAGCGTAAAACCACAAAAAAAAAATATGCCCAACGATCATCAGGCAGATGCACATATCAGGAGGGGAAAAACACACAGACACAATTAATCGTCGATTCCCAAGAAAATATAGGAAAATATGGGAAGTGGGGGGCAAGACAAAAACCCAGAAAATAGGATAAAATGTGGGGAGCATGTTTATCTGTGTGTATTGATTTGTTTGTCCTAGGGCCCCTTCAGCATAGACAACGCGGCGGACGAGAAGTCACCTTGCCACAGACCGTGTTCGCCCCCTCGACCTCCCCCCCCCCCCCCCCCTTGCCCCCCCTCCCGCCTGCCTGCCCGCCCCGCCGGCCCCGGCCTCCAGCCCGCGCGTTCGCCGTTCGGGACGATCGGCACGGGCATGGAAACAATGGGCACGAAGATTGATCGGAGGGCACCAACTATACACCAACACCGCTCCTGGCCCAGGATCACCCTGGGCCCAGGATCGGTGTATATACCTTCTTGCCCAAGGCAGGAGGGCGTATACACCGATCCTGGGCCCAGGGTGATCCTGGCCAGGATCGGTGTTGGTGTATAGTTGGTGCCTTCCTAATTGACAGCAGTTCCTGCCCGTTTTGAAAAGGGCTCGCTGCCGGCGTCGCCGCGGACGGTGTCCGTTTGAGACCAGGAGGGCCGCCCGCCCGACAGCGGCCGCTGTCGGTTCGGGACAGCATCTGTTGTTGGGCACTGCAGCTACTCATGTTGTCCGTACCCATCGCGTGCGTCCAGAGCCGTCGCTTGTCTGCTTTTCCCTTCTTCTCCGCCCCTTTCGCTGGACAGCACGGCCTGTCCGGGCCCCACGTGGCGGCGCGCAGGACCCCTGCCGGAAGAGTCGAGGAGCCAGGGTTAGGCGGATGATGTTGAGCCACCTGCTCCGCGCACCGCCGAAGAGCGAAGGGGCCCGAGGAGAGTTGCTTCAATCCCCGGCCCAGCAGGAGTGGCAGGGGCAGCTGAAGTGGTTCCACAGTGGCACCTGGACCCGCCACCGCTGCGGCGCCTCTCCCGGGGTGGGGGTGGACGGCGAGGAGGCCTGTGTCCCTCCTCTACCTCTTGCTCCCTCCTTGCTTCTCCAGGCGGGAGTAACTACGTAGATGAAAAAAGGTTGCCATCACACAGCCTCTCCCCTTGTTTATGCCCTCTCTCTTCCTCACCATCCTCACCCTCACGCAAGGAACCGGGGGAAGGATGGAACCGTACCAGGGATGGGGAAGGAGCAGAGAAGGATATTGAGGAGGGCTATGTGGAAGCGGAAGAGCGGGAAGGGGGAGGGAGGAGAGTGTGAAGGAGAACGGGACGAGGAGGGAGGATGAAGTAGGGAGGACGGGGGAGCGAGGTGGAATGAGGAAGGATGGAGGATGGGGAAGGCGGGGAGAGTGGAGGGTGGATGAAGATATTGAGAAAGAGGAGGAGGAGGAGGAGGAGGAGGAGGAGGAGGGAGGAGGAGGAGGAGGAGGAGGAGGAGGAGGAGGAGGAGGAGGAGGAGGAGGAGGAGGAGGAGGAGGAGGAGAGGGGAGGAGGAGGAGGAGGAGGAGGAGGAGGAGGAGGAGGAGGAGGAGGAGGAGGAGGAGGAGGGAGGAGGAGAGGAGGAGGAGGGGAGGAGGAGGAGGAGAGGAGGGCGGGAGGAGGAGGAGGAGGAGGAGGAGGAGGAGGAGGAGGAGGAGGAGGAGGAGGAGTAGAGGAGAGAGGATAGGGGAGGAGGAGGAGGAGGAGGAGGAGGAGGAGGAGGAGGAGGAGGAGGAGATGAAGGAGGAGGAGGAGGAGGACGAGGAGGAGGAGGAGGAGATAGGGACGGAGGAATCTGACCAGAGTAAACCCAAGTTACATCAACGATTGGGCGGGTGGGCCTGCCACCCAGGCAAGATCCCTTCTTCTAGAGGAACCCCCATAGGATTCCCAAGGATTCGCAAGGATTTCCCTAGGATTCCCAAGGTTCCCCACGGATTCCCATAGGACCCCCAAGAGTTCCCATACAATGTTCATAGGATTCCCAGCGGATTCCCATACGAGTGCCGAGGGGCGCTGCCACAGCTCCCCGAACTGTGGCCCTCCAGCCTTCCAGCATGAAGTCGGGCCTGCCCCCCTACAGGGGGAATATGCAAAACAAAAGAAGAAGTAAAAAAACAAAAAAGTCTGGGGACTAGTTTTTGAATATGTCGTGACCATGTGTGGGCATTGTTTTAGTACGTTTTACTTTTCGTCGAAAATCCCCCTGTAGGGGGACAGGCCCGACTTACTTCTAGCCAGAAGCGCAACAGGTAGGACAACAACGCTCAAGGAAGCGTCCAGCGATCCTGCTACCAAGAAGCGTAACAGGTTGGACAAGAACGCTCAAGAAAGTGTCCAGCGACAGCGCCGTTCGGGAGATGGTATGCGTTCCGTCCGCGAACGTACTGTCGGAGGTTGATAACCTTCTACCCTGACACGTCGATTAGCGAATTGGCCGTTTTCGGTTCGCGAGAGGGCGTCGCGGCCGTCATTTTTGCGGGTCTAGGTCCGTCGGTTACGGTCCCAGGCCGTTTTCACGAAAGGGTGGTTTACTAAAGGGATGTTTGCCCTCCGCCGAAGGATCCACCTCCATCCTTCTACCAAGAAGCGCAACAGCTAGGATAATGACGCTCAAGGAAGTGTCCAGCGACAGCACCGTTTAAACTGTCAAGCGAACGTATTAAATTCAGGAGGGGAAAAAAAAACACACAGACACAATTCATCGGCGATTCCCCAGAAAATATTGAAACATATGGGAAGTGGGGGGAAGACAGAAACCCAGAAAATATAGGAAAATATGATTAATAATTTTATTTGTGTGTATTTATTTGTGTGTTTGTGGGCCCCTTCAAATAATGTCAAGCCGTAGACGCTGCGGGGGTGTCATGCCAGAGCCCCGCTTTGAAGAGGAGCCGCCCTCCGTCCGTGCAACGACTGCGCAATGGCGAAATTTCCGGGACGTCACGTGCGAGAGCGTATCCATCGATAGCCCCGCTGCTTCAGCGGACAAGCCCTCTATATGTGTCGTCGTTCTGTCGCCTCCCCTCTCGTTTCCTGTCCTCCCGCTTCGTCGTTTCTGCGCTTTGGGGTTGTCGTTGCGTCCCCCTCGGCCTCGTCTTCCTCCTCCTCCTCTCCCTCGTTCCCTCGTCGCCCTCCCAAAACAAACGAAATCCGTCGTAACGCTCGGCGGGTGGAAAGAAAACAAACAAAAATGCTTGACCAATGCGCGTGGCGCCGAGGGAAGAGCCGCATGTTGAAAACCACCTGCCATCCATCCTGGTAGCTTTTGCGAGCGTGTGACACACATGTGCGCGGTGGTATGGCGAGAATGCAATTTTGAAAACGGTCGGTCCTGTATCGGTGTCATTGGGGATCGCGAGATGCAGCGAAGTCTCAAGCGAAACGCCAGGTTAGGCTTGCAGACATGTCTAGTGGTGAGACAGGGGGGAGTAGCTTCTAAGGAAGAGGGAGAGGAGGAGGAGGAGGAGGAGGAGGAGGAGGAGGAGGAGGAGGAGGGGAAGGGTGGGGGGTAGGAGGGGAGTGTGACTCGAATCCCTTCAGTTTCGTCGGGCCGGTCTCTCTTGAGGCCCCCTTGGTTCTAGTTGTGTGACTAGTTGTTCTGCGGTTGGCAGGATACAGTCGGTACCCTGAAGAAGGAACCCTTTTGGTTGGGGAGGGGCTCCGCGTTCCTTAAGTGTTTCACAGCTTGTCTCAGGTGTTCCTTATGTTTTCGATAGGAAATCGAAGCTTAACTTATGGAAACAAGGGGCCTCGTTCCTTATTTAAGGTTCCTTAGGTCAACGCCCCGACTATACCTTGGGACGTCGTAGCCGCTCTGGCGGCCGAGGGTGCGAGTACGCGGACATTTTCACGATCGACGGTGGCCTTGAGCATTCTTTCCGTTCGGGGGTGTTTGGATGTCTTCTTACTGGGTAGTCGAAGGCCAGACTGTCAGATTGGATTGGGCCCCAAGGGCCAATCTGGCCAAACTGGATGATTTGGGTTATTCGCCAGACTGGATTCGCGTTGGCTCCCTCGCCAGATTGCCCCCGTTTGCCAGATTGGGCCTGCCAGATTGGCGCCAGATTGGCTTCGACTACCCAGTCTTAGGGCATCACCGAGGCATCTTGAAAGCCTCCTGGACCGGCTGAAAGCCGCGCAGGGTGGCCGTAGTAAGCCGCCTGTGCAGTCTTGGAGACCAGTTTGGGCCTCCTTGATGGGATCCGTAGACCAATTTGGAAATAGCTGGCTTTATGTAGAGGAAAGGAGAGGGCGAATGAAGGTCAGCGAAGCAGTGGTATACAATGCATATATATAAGAAAAAACAAAACAAAACAACAACGCCTATAGACCCCAAAGCGGCCGATGGATTTAGCACCTTGGGTGGGGGGCGGGTCCTGGCCGTCCTCTCGCGGGCTCGGGGTGGTCCCCCCCCCCATGCCGCCTCCCCCCTCCCATCCCCCTGCTCCCCCTCCTCTCCCTCCCCATGCCGCCTCCCCCTCTCCTCCCCTGCCTCCTCCTCCTCCTCCTCCTCCTCCTCCTCCTTCTCCTCCGGTCTCCCTCCCCTGCTCCTCCACTTCATCTTCTGCCCCCTCCTCCTCCTCCTCCTCCTCCTCCTCCTCCTCCTCCTCCTCCTCCT